GCACTGTAAGCATGTCATTGCACTGTAAGCATGTCATTGCACTGTAAGCATGTCATTGTACCGTAAGCATGTCATTGCACTGTAAGCATGTCATTGCACTGTAAGCATGTCATTGCACTGTAAGCATGTCATTGCACTGTAAGCATGTCATTGCACTGTAAGCATGTCATTGCACTGTAAGCATGTCATTGCACTGTAAGCATGTCATTGCACTGTAAGCATGTCATTGCACTGTAAGCATGTCATTGCACTGTAAGCATGTCATTGCACTGTAAGCATGTCATTGCACTGTAAGCATGTCATTGCACTGTAAGCATGTCATTGCACTGTAAGCATGTCATTGCACTGTAAGCATGTCATTGCAGTGTAAGCATGTCATTGCACTGTAAGCATGTCATTGCACTGTAAGCATGTCATTGCACTGTAAGCATGTCATTGCACTGTAAGCATGTCATTGCACTGTAAGCATGTCATTGCACTGTAAGCATGTCATTGCACTGTAAGCATGTCATTGCACTGTAAGCATGTCATTGCACTGTAAGCATGTCATTGCACTGTAAGCATGTCATTGCACTGTAAGCATGTCATTGCACTGTAAGCATGTCATTGCACTGTAAGCATGTCATTGCACTGTAAGCATGTCATTGCACTGTAAGCATGTCATTGCACTGTAAGCATGTCATTGCACTGTAAGCATGTCATTGCACTGTAAGCATGTCATTGCACTGTAAGCATGTCATTGCACTGTAAGCATGTCATTGCACTGTAAGCATGTCATTGCACTGTAAGCATGTCATTGCACTGTAAGCATGTCATTGCACTGTAAGCATGTCATTGCACTGTAAGCATGTCATTGCACTGTAAGCATGTCATTGCACTGTAAGCATGTCATTGCACTGTAAGCATGTCATTGCACTGTAAGCATGTCATTGCACTGTAAGAATGTCATTGCACTGTAAGCATGTCATTGCAGTGTAAGCATGTCATTGCACTGTAAGCATGTCATTGCACTGTAAGCATGTCATTGCACTGTAAGCATGTCATTGCACTGTAAGCATGTCATTGCACTGTAAGCATGTCATTGCACTGTAAGCATGTCATTGCACTGTAAGCATGTCATTGCACTGTAAGCATGTCATTGCACTGTAAGCATGTCATTGCACTGTAAGCATGTCATTGCACTGTAAGCATGTCATTGCACTGTAAGCATGTCATTGCACTGTAAGCATGTCATTGCACTGTAAGCATGTCATTGCACTGTAAGCATGTCATTGCACTGTAAGCATGTCATTGCACTGTAAGCATGTCATTGCACTGTAAGCATGTCATTGCACTGTAAGCATGTCATTGCACTGTAAGCATGTCATTGCACTGTAAGCATGTCATTGCACTGTAAGCATGTCATTGCACTGTAAGCATGTCATTGCACTGTAAGCATGTCATTGCACTGTAAGCATGTCATTGCACTGTAAGCATGTCATTGCACTGTAAGCATGTCATATGCACACTGTAAGCATGTCATTGCACTGTAAGCATGTCATTGCACTGTAAGCATGTCATTGCACTGTAAGCATGTCATTGCACTGTAAGCATGTCATTGCACTGTAAGCATGTCATTGCACTGTAAGCATGTCATTGCACATTGCACTGTAAGCATGTCATTGCACTGTAAGCATGTCATTGCACTGTAAGCATGTCATTGCACTGTAAGCATGTCATTGCACTGTAAGCATGTCATTGCACTGTAAGCATGTCATTGCACTGTAAGCATGTCATTACACTGGAAGAAGCACGTCATTTCACTGTATTCCATGCATTCCTTGCGTCTGATTCCAATCCAATCACTTCTCATATGTGAAATCATCTTCTTATTTGACCTCAGTTTACCTTCCTTTCCTTCCATTGCATCCTTCTCTTCTCCCACAACACACACACCACACCACAGCTCCATTCACTCCTGCACCCTCGTTGGCACCCTGCCTTCTGCTCTCCTCGCATTGCCATATCTCAAGAAACTGTGAGACTTGTGCTCCCGCACTCTCCCTCGGTCGTTTCTTCACCCTCTTGCCCTCACTCACTTGCCCTTGCTTGTATTGACTTCTTGATGCTTGTGCTGACTTGCATTTGATTTTCTGAGCACGCCTGGTCCTGCCTTGCCTATTTCAACCCTTTCCCCTTACCCCTATTATCTCCACCCATCCACCCTTGTGTCTCCTGCCCTTCCGCCATCTTTGTGTGTTGCCTTCAGTGATTTGGAGTTTTGCAATCAAATCCCTCAGTCGGTGCTTGATTCCACAGAGGGATTGTCTTCTCCCTTATACTTGTCAGTTCCATTTATTCTGCCATGCACCTGTCTCTTCTCTCATGCATTTCCCTTCTTTGCGAACCTCCCTCATTTTCCAGCGCATCTGTCAGTTCCACCATCCACGTTTTCTCGCATGCACATCTCTTTTCTCATGGTCCACCTGCCTAGGTCCACCTGCCTAGGTCCACCTGCCTAGGTCCACCTGCCTAGGTCCACCTGCCTAGGTCCACCTACCTAGGTCCACCTGCCTAGGTCCACCTACCTAGGTCCACCTGCCTAGGTCCACCTACCTAGGTCCACCTGCCTAGGTCCACCTACCTAGGTCCACCTACCTAGGTCCACCTACCTAGGTCCACCTACCTAGGTCCACCTACCTAGGTCCACCTACCTAGGTCCACCTACCTAGGTCCACCTACCTGCACGCTCCTCCTGCTCTTTTTGGGACAGACAGCAGCAGCCCCACACCTGCTACCTACATGTGCGCGCCCAACTGCATGCCTACCGCCCCCCCCTTATCGTGTGAATTGAATCCCCTCCACCCCAGCAACAGCCCACACCTGCTGCCAGCACGCTCCTTCCACTCTCCCTTTTCTCCCGTCCACTCTACTCTACCTTTTCTCCCTCCACTCTCCCTTTTCTCCCCTCCACTCTCCCTTTTCTCCCCTCCACTCTCCCTTTTCTCCCCTCCACTCTCCCTTTTCTCCCCTCAACGCTCCCTTTTCTCCCCTCCACTGCTCTCCTGACAATCCTCTCCTATCTCCCACCGCTTCATCTGCTCCGCTGCCCTCCTCCCTCTTCCCCCTCTTCCCCCTCTTCTCCCCTCCCTTCCTACGTTCTCCCCTCTGTGCCTGCTGTCGCCCCAACCATGCAACAGCTATGACCCTGCCCTGCACACGAGCGATCTCAAAGCCTCCGCTCTGCAAGGGCTGGCCAATCTGCGGCAGCTCACTTACCTGTGAGTGCGCTGGCAGGAGGAATACGGGTGGGGATTGTTGTTCAGAATCCTCGAAAACAGCCTTCAAATATAAGAAACCTTCAGCAGCTCACTTACCTCTGAATGTGCTAGCGGGAGCGATGTAGGCAGGCAGGCAGGGATTCAATGAGTGGGTATGTGAATTCCAGCGCGAGGGGGTGAGTGCATGGTAGAGGTGGGAGAGTGAGAGTAAGGGATGCAGCAAGATGAGGCTTACATTGGTTACTCCAGCTGACGCTGCGTCAAACATTTCATGGCCCCTAACTCGCACCCCATCTTATAAACAGCCTCTGGTCAACCCTCCCTCTTCGCTTCAGGGCATACTGATGTTGCGAAACCCTTAATGTGCATGGTGCATGGATGGTGCATGCATGGTGCATGGGTGGTGCATGCATGGTGCATGCATGGTGCATGGATGGTGCATGCATGGTGCATGTATGGTACATGCAGGAGTTTGATGGGAAACCATCTAGTCGACTCACTACCAGAGCAGCTCTCCCAGCTGCAGAAGCTGCAGTCTCTGTAAGGCCGGCTGAGGGGCATGTGATGGCATGTGATGGCATGTGATGGCATGTGATTGCATGGGATGGCATGTGATGGCAAGTGATGGCATGTGATGGCATGTGATGGCATGTGATGGCATGTGATGGCATGTGATGGCATGGGGTGGCATGTGATGGCACGTGATGGCATGTGGTGGCATGTGATGGCATGTGATGGCATGTGATGGCATGTGATGGCATGTGATGGCATGTGATGGCATGTGATGGCATGTGATGGCATGTGATGGCATGTGATGGCATGTGATGGCATGTGATGGCATGTGATGGCATGTGATGGCATGTGATGGCATGTGATGGCATGTGATGGCATGTGATGGCATGTGATGGCATGTGATGGCATGTGATGGCATGGGGTGGCATGTGATGGCACGTGATGGCATGTGATGGCATGTGATGGCATGTGATGGCATGTGATGGCATGTGATGGCATGTGATGGCATGTGATGGCATGTGATGGCATGTGATGGCATGTGATGGCATGTGATGGCATGGGGTGGCATGTGATGGCACGTGATGGCATGTGATGGCATGGGATGGCATGTGATGGCATGGGATAGCATGTGATGGCATGTGATGGCATGTGATGGCATGTGATGGCATGTGATGGCATGTGATGGCATGTGATGGCATGTGATGGCATGTGATGGCATGTGATGGCATGTGATGGCATGTGATGGCATGTGATGGCATGTGATGGCATGTGATGGCATGTGATGGCATGTGATGGCATGTGATGGCATGTGATGGCATGTGATGGCATGTGATGGCATGTGATGGCATGTGATGGCATGTGATGGCATGTGATGGCATGTGATGGCATGTGATGGCATGTGATGGCATGTGATGGCATGTGATGGCATGTGATGGCATGGGGTGGCATGTGATGGCACGTGATGGCATGTGATGGCATGTGATGGCATGTGATGGCATGTGATGGCATGTGATGGCATGTGATGCATGGGATGATGGCATGTGATGGCATGGGATGGCATGGGATGGCATGGGATGGCATGTCATGGCATGTGATGGCATGGGATAGCATGTGATGGCATGTGATGGCATGTGATAGAACTCGGATGCTCTAAGCTATGCTTCCTTATTTTGCCATGCTGCCTCCTTGTGCCATGCTCCCTCGCTTCTTCTGTTCTTCTCGCTCTTCATGTTCACCTTGCCCATCCTCGGGTTCGACATCTCCCCTTCCCGCCAACTTCCCTGCTCTGAGCTCTTCTCTTCCCTGCCCCTTGCTCTTCTCTGCTCTGTGCTTTTCTCTGCTCCTCACTCCTCCATGCTCCGTGCTCTTCCCTGCTCCTCGCCTCTCGACTGCTCCTCGCCTCTCGACTGCTCCTTGCCTCTCGACTGCTCCTTGCCTCTTGACTGCTCCTTGCCTCTTGACTGCTCGTTGCCTCTTGACTGCTCCTTGCCTCTTGACTGCTCGCATCATCAGACGCTTGGATGCTCAGCGCCGACTGTCTGGGGAGCTGCCTGCGTGGATCTTCAGCCTCACAGACTTGACTTTACTGTGCGTGCTGCCATGCACCATCTGCCATGCACCATCTGCCATGCACCATCTGCCATGCACCATCTGCCATGCACCATCTGCCATGCCATGCACCATTCACCACCCTACATCATTTTCCTTGTACATACATCGTACCCTTATGACCGTTTTCTTTATCTCAACTTCCTTTCCGATACTCTCAGTATACTCCAGAGTACCATACTAGTTCGCCTGAGGATGCCTTGATACCAGAGATGGCAATTTGCATAACACGACCTTCTGTTCCGGCCTTCCCCATCCAATGATTCCTCTCCCCTCTCCATACTTCCCCCCTGTTTCTGCCCAAGCCCAACCCTCTCCGTCCACCAGGGATATCCAGGGCAACAACTTTACAGGCTCCATTCCAGAGGCAATCAGCAGCCTCAAGCAGTTGCGGAAGCTGTGAGTGGTGGTGGGTTAGGTTAGGCATGCAAGGTGCTGCGGGGTGATCAGGTGTGATGGATCAGTGAGTGCTTGTGTGAATGAGTGAGTGAATGTCTGAGAGTGAGTAATTGAGAGAAAGAGAGTAAGAATGAGTGGCCTGGCTAGAATGGTTTTTCTTGTGAGGCCTTGCCCCTGCCATGCTTGTACCTTTTAGTCCATATCAATGAATGAAGGACCGCTTAAGAATGAGTGCAAAATGATTGTGTTGCAGGGTAAATGGGGCCATGTGCTGCCATCAGCAAAAACGCACAGCAGACACATACACTGCAGACACATGCAGAGCAGACACATGCAGAGCACACACATCCACTGCACACACATCCACTGCACACACATCCACTGCACACACATGCACTGCACACACATGCACTGCAGGTCCATGCGAGGCACTGCCATGCTTCTCAACCTTCTCACACCCAACCTCCACCGCTTCCCTCCGCCTCTCCTCTCTCTGCTTCATCCCCTTTGCCTCCTTGCCTCCATGCTGCTCCAAAGAAAACACTGTAATCCCAGTGGATCTCTCTGCGCCACACTTCACCGCACTGTGCCGCACATGATCGCAGACGCATCATGGAGCCAACGCTGTCAGGGTCCATCCCCGAGTCAATAGGAGCGCTCACCAACCTGCAAGATCTGTAAGGAAGAGTGTTTTGAGACGTCTCACAACAACCTGCAAGACCTGTAAGGAGGAGGGAGGGATACCCGCGTTGCAAGGCCGTGAGACTGGTACTTGGCACTTGCTCTGGTCCTTTCCCAAAAGCCTTTTGTGCCTTTGCAATGGCTCTCGTATGTGCCCTTTCTAACTTCCCTTGAGCCGTGAGGAGGAGTGCGTGCACTGGTACTTGTCCTCTCCAGCCCTTCTCCAATGTCTCTTGTTCTTTTGGAAATGATTCTAAAAGCGATGGCACGGCATACAATCTTCTCTTTTTGGTTGGGCAAAGGATTTTCAAAATTTCAACAAGTTTACTAGTGCAATAGATGTTAACTCATAGAATCTCCCAATCTCAGTTTGCTTGCATCAATCCCAACCCTACCGAATTCCTCGCCTCAAGTGTCTACCTTTGCCTCAAACATGTTCCACTTCACACTTGTGCTTTCTATAGTTTCTTCCTTTCTTGTGTTTGTGCAACGTTTTGTTTCTTGTTTGCTTATATATATACGTAAATATTCATACATATAATATATATATTTAGTATCTGGCTTGTGGGACCCTCCAGTGCAGTGGTCACTTCTCTTGACTCTAGTACTACCCAGTGTTCTAAGAACCCTAGACCAGCAGCACTGGCATGCACTCTCACACATACTATGGGTGCTTCGTTCCCATCCTGTGCCATCCCGTGCCATCCTGTGCCATCCCATGCCATGACATCATGCGACAGAGACTTGGAAGACTGCGGCAGCCTGGATGGCACCATTCCCGCCTCCATTGGCAACCTCACTGCACTCACCTCCCTGTGCGCCCATTTTCTCTCCACACGAACCTTCCCTTCTCTCTAATATCTGCATAATCTGCCAATGAAAAGTAACCCTGCACTGCACCCATGCATGGTGCATCCTCTCCGCTGCAGCCTTCCACCTTCCAACCGCTCCCTGCGTCTTAGTCATAATCATCCTTTCTGTCTTTAACCTACAACGCGCCCTCGTCTTCCCCTTTCTACGCTTCCGTTTACCATGGAGCCTGGCGTCTGATCTACCGTAGAAGCAAAAGAAACTGTAAGAAAAGAGAAAAATTCCTATGGTGCGTCGGACACACAGCAGCAAGGTTGAGAGAAAAAAAGAGATGCTCGGTGTTAACAAAAAGCAGCTGTGAGTTGTTAGGGTTAGTAAAGCGAAATATATGCCTACATATGAATATATGCAGATATAGGCATATAGATACAAATATATCAAATAATATAAATGTATATATAGCTACAAGGGCTTTAGGGTTTGAGAGGGGAGCTGGTTTGATTTGCCATAGGTGAGAGGGGACGAAAATTTAAGCTGGGTGGAAGGGGAGTTGGTTGGATGGGTTGCTGCGTGAGGTGAGAAGGGGGGGCTCCATGTCCTGTGAGAGGTAAGGAGGAGTTGGGTGGGGCTTGCAAGTGGCGAGAATAGGAATTGCGTACGCTATAAGTGGCGAGAGGAGGAGTTGGTTGAGAAGGGCAAGGGGAAGGATTGGGGAGGTTTCAGCTGTGAGATTTGAGAGAAGAAGGGGGAATGGTTGGGCTGTGAGAGCGGATGGAATTGGAGGGAGGGGTGGGGAAGAGAGTCTGGGGTTGGGTTGTCGGTTGGTCAAATTGATGGGAAGGTAATTCAAGCAGACTTGACTAATCGAGAATTCTATAAAGCCATGTTTGGAGGTCGATTGCAGACTAATCAGACTGAATACCCTGAAATATTCAACTCTACTCTCCTCCTTTTCCTTTCCGCCCTCTCCCAACCTCTCCATGCCCCAGGAGTCTTCATGAATCCTTTCTCTCAGGCTCCATTCCAGAGGAAATCAGCAGCCTCGGGCAGCTACAAAACTTGTGAGTGGTGATGAGGGTAGGCATGCAAGGTGCCGTAGAGTGGAGTGGAGTGGAGTGGAGTGGAGTGGAGTGGAGTGGAGTGGAGTGGAGTGGAGTGGAGTGGAGTGGAGTGGAGTGATTCAATGTGATAGGTAGCCCGCTAGGTCCCTGCTGAGGGAGTAAAGAGGTGGGGGGAAAGTAAGAGGCTGAGACAGGGGATGGGTGGAACCATCTGGAAAAGAGCTTGAGCTAGCGTAGAGAGAGTAGAGTAGGTTTACCGGGTTGGAGTTTTGAAGTAGGCTCTGGAGCTCAAGGCTCGAGGCTCTTCTTGGTAGATCCCAAAGGAGCTTGAGATAGAGATGGTTCACCAATTCTTGGGGCTCCAGGCTCATCTAGGTAGATCGCAAATGAGTTGGGAAGGATGGGACGGGATTGGAATTCGATGACACTATGCAATAAGGTTGGTTGAAACTTCTGATTGGTGGGTTGAGTTGAGTTGAGTGCGTAAACAAGGGACCCAGGGGGCAAATGAGTGGATTATTGAGTGAGGGAGCGCGTGGAATAAACTTTGTCAGAGACTCAAAGGCTAGTTTGATTCAAAAATCCAACACCGGCGGTCTCTTGATCGCTGATCTATCTCTTGTTTCCATCCAGTACGTTGAATGCACCACAGCCACCACATCTACTGTAAGCAGCTGAACCTACTGTACCTTGTGCCATGCCATCCCATCCCATGCCATCCCATGCCATCCCATGCCATCCCACCCACCCCATGCCATGGCAGGGACCTCCAAAACACCATGCTGAATGGCACCATTCCCGCCGGCATTGGCCACCTCACCGCACTTTACACCCTGTGCGTGCGCCCATCTTCCCTTCGCCTTCCTCCTAAGTTCCCCCTCTCTGCGTTGCCATGCCATGGCACCAGGAATCTATCGTAAGAGCGCACAACAAGCTGTCCATTCTGAGACATTACCCCCCCACGCTCATCATGCCACAGAAACCTTAAGTACAACAGTCTCTCAGGCTCCATTCCAGAGGCAATCAGCAGCCTCAAGCAGCTTGGGGAGTTGTGAGTGGTGATGGGGCAGACATGCAAGGTGCTGTGGGGTGATCAGGCGTGGTGGCCTTCAGTGAGTGAGCGGGAAGGAGAGTGAAAGGCCGAGGAGAAAGAGAGTGGGAGAGAGTGTGAGTGAGTGCGTGGGTGAGGGGGTGAGAGGGTGAGGTGAGCTATGAGTTATTGCCCTAGCCGTTCGTCCCATCCCATCCCATCCCATCTCATCCCATCCCATCCCATCCCATCCCATCTCATCCCATCCCATCCCATCCCATCCCATCCCATGCCATCCCATTCCAGCCATCCCATGCCATCCCATTCCATGCCATCCCATGCCATCCCATGCCATGCCATCCCATGCCATCCCATGGCAGGGAGCTGAAGGACAACAGGCTGAGTGGCACCATTCCCGCCTTCATTACCCACCTCACCGCACTCAACACCCTGTGCGCCCATTCTCCCTCCACTCTCTTCCTCTCCAAGCCTTTTTTCCACCTGCCTCTCTCGCTGCCAAGCATGGGAATTTGAGATGGTGGGTGGGATGATAATTGAGATTGGGGGTATGGTGGGAGAAGAAGGCAATGAATAGGAGAGTACTCACCTTTCACCAACATCACTCACACGCTTCCACAGTAGCATGTCTGCTTTTTCCTTTCCTCCTTTCTTCTGCTCTTCTACTTTTCTCCTTCTCTCTTCTCTCTTCTCTTCTCCTCCTCCTATTTTCTTCTTCTCCTCCTCTCCTCCTCTCTTTTCTGCTCTCCTTTTCTCTCTTCTTCTCCTCTCCACCTCACTCTTCTAATCTTCTGCCGCTTCTCCACTTCCCCCCGTACCTTACTCTTCTCTCCGTCTCTGCATGACACATCATTCACCCGTATTCAGAAGTCTTGGAGACAACCGCCTCGTAGGGACGATACCTGATGCAATCACTACGCTCACCGATCTTGCATACCTGTCAGTCAGTGTTACCTCTTAAGTTGTCACCGCACTCAAAACGTCATCTCTGAGTATTGATGTATACAATTACGTCCTTCAAAACATGTCAGGGTTACATGTCAGGGTTAGCTGAGACGACTTGAAAGTCATGCTTTGCCAGGTCACCTCTTGTAAAGGGTTTTCAGAAGCAACCATCTGCACTCAAATGTCACCCTGTGCAATCATCTCCAACAACTGTCAGTGTTACCCATCTCGTCTCCTCAATGAAACGCCACCCACACATCTCTACTTTCAGCCACCCGCACGTCTCTTCCCTGCCATCCCATGCCATGCCATCCCATGCCATGCCATGCCATGCCATGCCATCCCATGCCATGCCATCCCATGCCATGCCATCCCATCCCATCCCATCCCATCCCATCCCATCCCATCCATCCCATCCCATCCCATCCCATCCCATCCCATCCCATCCCATCCCATCCCATCCCATCCCATCCCATCCCATCCCATCCCATCCCATCCCATCCCATCCCGTCCCATCCCATCCCATGCCATGCCATGGCAGGGACTTTCAGAGCAACAACCTGAGTGGCACCATTCCCGCCTCCATTGCCCACCTCCAAAAACTCTACTTCCTGTGCGCCTGTTCTCCCCTCCAACCCCACCTCTCCATTCCTTCTTTCCACCTCGCTCTCTCTGCCAGGCATGGGGGCTTTGAGAGGTGTGGGTAAGATGAAATGAGAGGAGGCACGTTGTGTGGATGGCTAACCTTCCTGCTGGTGTGGGTGTGTTTTTCTCAAAGCAAACTACTTTCAGCTACAGCACACACACTCTTCCACAGCGTCATGTCTGCCTTCTTCTCCTCTCCTTGTCGCTTCTCCTTCTACCTTCTTCTTCACTCTCTACTCTCCCTCTCGTCCTCCCTCTTATACTCTCCACCTCTCTCTTCTTCTCCTTCCCTCCTCTGCCTCTTCTCCTCTTCTCCTCTTCCCCTCTTCCCGTCTTCCCCTCTCTTTTTTTCCTTCCCTCCATGTCCCCTCTCCAGTGGACTTGGCAACAATCGCCTTACAGGGACGATGCCTGCTGCAATCACCACGCTCACTAATCTCGATTACCTGTCAGTGTTCCCTCCTTGTTCGTCACGTCACACATGTCATATGTGAGCGGTGGTGTGTACACCCCATGCACTCATCTCCAAACAAGAACCAGTGCCACCCATAACTCTTCTTCTCTGTGTAACAGCCTCTCTACTGCCCGCATCATCGCGTTTTCTGCTACCCAGCCTCTCCTTGCTGCGGCCCGCACATTCAGGGTGCCAACCTCGTCAGCCTTTTCAATGAATGCCCTCCACTCGCTTCCTCCCATGCTCACTCCGCCGTGACACCACTTACTCTCCACTTCCCTCTTGTGCCAACACATCTTTTCTGTAGATCCATCGTACTCATTCAGTGATGATTTCGAATCACTTTCTGCTCAGCGCCCTTTCTAGCCCAGTTCCATTCTGTCTATGCCTAACAAGTGATGATAGATGAATCAAATCCTAAGCACGTCAGCTAATTGCACCCAGTGTTGACAACACGGAAAGTGGAATCGACAGCTCAAAAGTCCCTCTCACACAGCGTGGACAGAAACAACCATCTCATTCATTACGCACATGCTACTCCTTTCTCATCTCTCCATCTTTCCCTTCACTCCCTCTTTCCCGTCACTCCCATTCCCCGCCACTCCTCTTCCTTTTCAATCTTCCCCTCCCGCCTTTGTTTGGCATCACAGCAACTTAAAGGGCAACCAGTTGACGGGAGAGGTGCCCTCGTTCGACCATACGGACCCATTCTATTCGTTTACTGGGGACCCTTTCAACAACAATTACCAGTTTGACGACCTCGCCGCCTCGGAAAGCCCTCTTTCTTTCAACACTTCCAGCCCTGTCGAAACTCTACAGCTGGACACCTTGTGTATGTTCCTTTTCGACCATCAGCTTATCAGAAAGTCTAGGCAGGAAACTAGAAACAGGAAAGAGGATTTCCACTAGCAGGCGGGTGAGTACATATAGCAAACCCTAATTTGGGTTGTACTCGCTATAAAGTACCCCACTGCAGGCTAGACAAACATCACATTCTGATACAGCTCGTTCAAGCTACCTAAAAACTTGCATTTCATGTCCTCCAAAGTCGCCTGCTTGCCAATATGTCGGCTTTCTCTGCATCAATACCCAGCAATCTTTCTCCAATGTGCTGCTTCTGTACATACCCACGCTTCCTCCCTCTTCTCATCCACCCCCCAGGCACCAAACCACCGTGTGAACCACCAGGCCCTGCAGTCGTGGGAGTGGCGTTGTCTGCTCTTCAGGCACCTCAGAACCTGCTGCTGCTGCTGATGCTTCCACTAGCAGTGCTACAGCTGCTGGCCTTCACACTGCCACAGTTTCTGAGGCGCCTTAAGAATCGGCCCCACACACGCTACTTCTTTTCAAAGAGAGCCCTTGCTGCCCGGCAAGCTGCCATGGGTGTGGAGATTACTTGCTAGTGACCCACTTGTTACCGTATCGCCCCGGATAAAAGCGCAGGCCTATGATAAGCGCATGCGCTTCTATCTGGAGCAATGCGCTTATGGCCGATCCTCAATTATAAGCGCAAACCCTGTAAAACCCTGACTTATTATAAGCGCATGTATAATATTAAAATTTGAATTTGCTTGAAACGGTAACGAAATTCCAATTTGCAGCGAGGTCACACCAATTTCGGTTCGATTGACTCGCGAGGACCTTACATTCTGCGCGTCCAGTCATTATGAGCTGGAATTCCGGCGCAATGACGTGTAACTGCCCCTGTGTGCCCGCAGAAATTCGCCCGCGTGCGACTCTGAATTGTGACCCCCTATCATTGCGCTTCGATTAAAATTGCAATAAGGGGATGTACAATCTGGTGCAGTAAGAATATAAATTTGTATTAGTCATTATATAAGCGCATGCGCTTATATTTTTTACTCAATTATAAGCGCACCCCCCTAAAAAACACTGATTTATTATAAGCGCACCTGCGCTTTAATCCGGGGTAATACGGTACGTGGGAATGATATCGGTAACAAGTTTTGCACATTCATTAACGGTAACGGCATGGTGTAATGAAAACGGTAGCGTTGTTCTTAAGTTGTATACTGGATGCCATGCTCTATTGTGTTCGTTTACGAGTGTCACATAACACACTCGTTTCGAGTATAACATACGGTAACAGAAGCGTGTCTTCCTCCACACATTGATCCCACAATGCCATGATCACACACAACCAACTGCTGGTAGCTATTGATACTTGTTACACAGAATCAGCTCAGGGTTGATCACAAGTGATATTGCAGCGGACGTAGTGACCTCAGGTCAGTGTGAATGGAAAATGACAGAAGTGATAATAAAAAAGACATACATTGGTTTATATAGGAATTAGAAGGAATACAAAAAGTCCTAGCTAGCCATGTACTCTAAGGGGTGCATTCCTGTGTGGACATTTGTGTCTCAATCGCTTTGGGACACCCAAAAACAGCATAAACTGTAGTGTGTCCCAAATACGAGTCGCTTTTCAGCGACCAGTACTGTATTTTTCATTGGTCAGCGTGAAACGCGCTGACGTCGCTGACGAATTGCAAATCGACCCGTCATTTAAAAAAAATTGCACGCGGTTCGCAATGTCAATGCACCTAAACAACCCACAATGTCAATTTCGCGCAGGAAACAATCCCGCGCGTCGAAACCTAACCCCAACCAATCGGTTGAGAAAATGGGTGTATAGTCATTCGTGTCACCCAACCAAATGCGCAGAAATTTACATTTCGCTTGGTCGCGCAGTGTCGCGCTACATTTTTTTTTGTGACGCGAGATTGCCCAAATGTTTCGACGCGACTCGGGAAAAGGGGCATTGAGACACAAATGTCCACACAGGAATGTACCCCAAGGGATACATTCCCTTATTCCAGCGAGGTTAAAAAACAATGCGGCGCGCGAAACCAATTCGACTTAAAATGTTTCTGCCTGCAGCGGTCTTGATCTGGCAGTTGGTGATGTCGCTTTCACTCTTCTAACTCATTGACTTTGTACTCGGTAGAGTTGGCTCCCACAACATACAGGAATGCCTCCTCATTTAAGGGTACATTCCTGTGTCAACATTTGTGTCTAAATCCACGTTTTCCCAAACGTTGAAAAAAATTGTCAATCTCGCGCCACAAAAAATCAATGTATCCCGAAACTAGGCGACCATGCGAAATGCACAGTTGGGCGCATTTGATTGGGTAATAAATATTACTATACACCCGTTTCTTCAATCACTTGGCTGGGGTGTTGTTTCGACGCGCGGGATTCTTTTCCGCGCGAAATTGGCATTTCGGGCATACCAGGTGCATTGACATTTCGAACCGCATGCGATTTTTTAACAATGACGGGTCGGTTTACAATTTGTCGGCGACGTCAGCGCGCTTCACGCTGACCAATAAAAAATACAGTAATGGTCGCTAAAAGGCGACTCGCGTTTGAGACATTGCACGTTTTATGTCGTTTTAACGCGTCACAAACGCTTTGAGACACAAATGTCGACACAGGAATGTACCCTAAGTTCAAATCTCAACCCCCCCCTGGACGTGTGGGAGGTTGACTCGCTTGACTACTCCGGTGAGATTGGTACTGCTGACGCGCAGTCGCTTGGTGAGGAAGACGGCTGCCATCTCGGTGGTACGGCAGTACGTCACGTCAAGCTTGAGCTCATCAATCTCGTCCTTGATGAAAAAGTACCGAAGCGCGATGTGCTTTTTATGGTTCACAAAGCCAGGCTTGTTCGTGATCCTGAAAGCGCTCTGGATGTCGCAATGAAGGCAAAATGTTGGCGATGTTGGGATTTTCGCCTCCTGCAGGAGCTCTTGCAGATAGAGCCCTTCGCGAACTGCAGCAGTTGCAGCGATGTACTCTGCTCCGGCTGACGACAGGGCAACCAGCTCCTGCTTCTAGGAATTCCAGGAGATTGGGCCTGTTGGCTCGAGGTGGAAGACGAAGCCCGTTTGTGACCATTGATTAGCAGGGTCAGCATGTCAGAACATTGTGTTGTGTAGGCTGTAGTGGGGTAGCCCATATGGGGTACAACCCAATTTAGGGTTAGTACTTGTACCAAACTGTTGCATAGTGCATTCATTCCTGCTGTTCATTCTGACATGATATCAGAGCAGGTCCTGTCCCAGGACCGTTCTCGTTAGGGCCCACCGATCGTATTCTGCCCGTCGCGCTGCCCCACCACACGCGCATGCCCTGCCCTGCCCTGCGTTGCGCCGCCCCGCGCACGCCCTGCCCTGCCTTGCGTTGCGTCGCGCTGCCCCGCGCACGCCCTGCCCTGCCCTGCGTCGCGCTGCCCCGCGCACGCCCTGCCCTGCCCTGCGTCGCGCTGCCCCGCGCACGCCCTGCCCTGCGTCACGTGCCCCGCGAACGCCCTGCCCCTGCTGCCGGTCGCGTCGTGCGCCCCTGCTGCCCGTCGCGTCGCACGCTCCTGCTGCCCGTCGCGCCGCACGCTCCTGCTGCCCGTCGCGTCGTGTCGCCCGTGCGGGCTGCCCCAGCCTGCCACGTTGCCCGTCCGCCCTGCCCTGGCCCGTCGCGTCGCCCGTGCAGGCTGCCTCAGCCCGTCGCGTCGCCCGTCCGCCCTGCCTCTGCCCGTCGCGTCGCCCGTACGGGCTGCCCTGCCTGTCGCGTCGCCCGTGCGGGCTGCCCCAGCCCGTCGTGTCGCCCGTACGCCCTGCTCTGCCCGTCGCGTGACCCGCGCGCGCCCTGCCCTGCCCGTGCGCCGCACGTCCGCCCTGCCCTGCCCAGCACGCGGCCCGCGCGCACCCTGCCCTGCCCGCGCGCCGCGTCTACGCCCTGCCCTGCTAGTCGCGCGGCCCGCGCACGCCCTACCCTACTCGCGCGCCGCGCGTACACCCTGCCCTGCCTGCGCGCCGACCTACTTCCAGCGCGCCGCCCTGCTCTGGCCGCGCGCCGCCCTTCCCTGACTGTGCACCGGCCCGCCCTACCTTACGCGCTAACCCTAGTGCCTGATCGCCACGTCCATGCCCTGCCTTCTCTACGTGCTGCCCTGCTCGTCACACGCCACATTGCTTTGCCTGCTATGACTTCTCTTCGTGGTAACAGTGGGAATGGTGGTGGTGGCCGTAGTAGCAGTCGCGGTTGAGATGAAAGTTTTGCCTCTTCGCTGGGACGGGAAGTCTTGGGAGTTGAGCCATTCGTGTCGAGGGAGAAGGTGTGCGGGGCGGTATCGCGGCCATTTGGGGCCGATTGAGAGGGTTGGGAAGATGTTCCCGCATCGTCATTCCGCAATGTTTGGAGTCCTCGCTCCAGGCTGGTGAGTCGCTGAAGCAGTTGTGTAAGGATGACGGTTCCAATCGTCGTCATCTCCTCGTTTGTCGTAGCCAGGTTGGGCTGTGCTTTAGCGGCCAGATTTGTCTAACCTCCAGACCCTCCAGCCATTCTTCCGCGTGAGCGTGTGCTGGACGCCACTTTTCGTTCGCCAAAGATTTTGGTGGTGGCGTTGCGAAGGATTCCCGAGTCGCTCTCATACCATGCTGCGATCAGAAGTTGATTGTAATCAGGATCTCCTTGGAAAGGTTTGCGCACAACTAAGTGGTGGTGGTGGGCCCTTGACCTCAATTCAGAGTGAATGTAACATGCAAATACAGGCACATAAATAAGAGTATTGGTGGAATACGAAACGACATAACTAGCCATGTACTTTAAAGCCAGCAGGCAAAATAATGACCCCCCTCTTCTAGTTGGGCCCAACTTAAATCAGTTGGTCAGCACAAGGTTAGCAATATATGGAACTTGCATAGCAGGCAAGCAGGTCAAGTGTACCCAAAAGTTGCGAAAAGGTTTACGACCAATCCTGTTACGGGTGCAATGGATCAAGGTAGCGAGGATTGCACTAAGGTGTTCAACGAATACAAAATGTGAGCGAAGGCATGAGCGAACATTTATACGCGAAACGTGCGTGCGAGCTAGTTAGTTCTAGGCTGGCATCGAGGCTCGGGCTAGCCTTGAAGCGTAGGCCGCTACGGCCGTGCCAGCGGTGCACGGTTTGAGAAAACAGTGCGCGCGAAGTGGCGAAGTCCCGTTAGCAGTAACGGGCGAACAACGGCTGCTGCTGTACGCGATGTTGCAGGTCGCTGTAAGGAATGCCGAGAAAATTCGTTACACTACCCCCCCCTCTCAAGAAGCCCCCTCCGCTACGCGAGTGCGTGTATATCGCGGAATCCCCGGCTCCTCAGGTACACTTGCAGGGCAGGGTGGTTTTCGATGTTGGCCAGGGGCACCCAGCTGTCCTCCGTTGGCGTGCGGTCCTTCCAGCGGATGAGGAACTCGATCCTCTTGATGCGTGTGGGGTGCCGAACCCGATGGCTGAGAATGTCGGGTTCGATGGTTTGCTCCTATGCAGGGCAAGTCATGGATGGCGGGCGGTGACGCGGAAGTTGGCTGGTGGTTGGGATGTACGGGCCGAGCAAGTTGATGT